CCCTAAAACAGTTCTTCTCTTCTTGAGTCTGTATTTTCACAAGTTTGCCCTCTTTCATCTTTTCAATTAGAGACAGTAAAGTTGGCTGATCCAAATTCACCAAGCGGTCTGCTACCGAGTTAAAATTGGCTTTGTTGGTTAAAAGACTACCAGCTTGAGCACATTGTTTGATTTGTTCATGATTCAAGGCAACTAATGGAAACATAGGATCAATTTGAAAGCGTTTATCATGGTAAAGTAGCAGCTGCCCTTTCCGTGTGTGATCTTCTATCTTATTCTTAGCTAGGGCATGACCAATACCCCCTTTACCATATGGAAATAGCCATGGAAAGATTTGAGAATACAAAGTAGGATTATCCCACAAACTTTCAGGTTCTTCTGACCTACCAATACCTAAGGCGGTACCTCCATGCAATAAATGCTTTAATGCCTCTGCCTTATACTGCTGTGTATTCATGTGCTCCAGGTCAGATCCTACTAGGCCATGGACTTGAAAGGTGCAGGGCCCTGTATCTGTTCCTTCTTCTGACTCATCTCCTGTTACTGCAGTTGCTTCTGGCTGTATAGGATTATCAGAATGTCTATAATCTGTGACTACTATTGGTGTATTCTCTGAATATCGGTCCAGTACATCATAAGCTATTGTCAAATCATGATATTGGTCATGATTTAATTTGAGCCATTCTAAAGCAGCTTTTACTTTATTTTTACGCACTAGTAATGGTGTACGTTTATAATCATCTTCTGTAGGCTTTTCTGGCCCTAAATATACAAATGCAAGTACTTCGTTCATTTCCTCTGGTGTAGGAGGTAGGGCTTTATATATCTTGGGCATAGGCACAGACCAACATATAGCATTTCCCTTCATTCGATGCTGTCCAGACTTTGCAACTCTCACAATACATCGATTATGATGTACCCTAGATATCATCATTTTTTCTGCCATTGACAGTCCCTTCATAACCCTAGGTACATCTCCAATCCAGTTACCTAAAACAAGTGCATTTGGGGGTATTTTATTTTTCTTGAGCTTATTATAACATTCTGTGCATATTTTATTACAATTATGATCTATAACAGGACCATCAATATCTTCAATGGGGTCATCAATCGTAAACCGTTCTTTACGAGTAAGCTTACTGTTGTTGTGTGATAAAAGTGATATATTGATCTTGGCATCAGACAACAAAATCATGTTTTTGGTCAATGAAAGCAAACCACAAACAGCACACCCTTCTTCCATAACATTGTCTGGTTCCAGTGCCTCACAAAAGGAGTTCACAATATGTGTTAATACTGAAGTTGATGGTGGCTGTGGCGGGAACAGTTCTGTGTACACATTATCATTGTTTATTGCTGTATGTTTATTATCTGTACTATTATCGGTCATGGGTATGTTATTGGTGTTATCATCAATGCGGCGGCGCTTGTGATTTGTGGAACGTTCAGTGCTTGATAGTGTTGTGGGAGCAATATAAAATATGAAGACAGTGGATCTACAAACATCACAAGTCTGATGCTTTTCCAGGGAATCTCGTACTGAGGCAACAGGTGTTCTCGAATGGACAGGTATGCCATGAAGTCTGGCAATAGACCCTAGTGTATCTTTGGATTCATTGAGCAGTATGTGTAAAGGCACTTGGACAGCCACATATGGATGTGTCATATACTTAGAATGTATATTACTTACCCGCACCATGGTTTCAAAATGAAAAAAGGTTCCTTTGTATTCTTCAGAAAGGTCAGGTTTATATGCTTGTAACAATGTGAAGCTATAACGCTTCGGTGCATATGCTCCACCAACTTGTATAATATGTTCTATGTCAACCTGTGGACATGCAGCTTGTGCAGCATCAAATGATTGTACATCTTGTGCAAATATAACTTGTATGATTAACTTGTATATCCCATAGGATAGAATAATGGATGACATAATAGCCAAAAGCATAGAAAGCCCATCTTTAAGGCTGGCTATACTCCAATTTAGGAAGAATGAGATAGGGCATGCTGTCAGAATGCATAATGTTGTGGCAATGTATGAATAAGTGGTCTTATTCATGATGTGAGGTCTGTAGACGATGAGGGGTATGAATATAAGTCAATGTGAGGTTTGCGGATGATGGGGATTAGGAAGAGAAAGTGTAGCAGCAAACACCTGTGCTTTTATAAGTGTAGAAAGACAGATATTAAATGTTTCATCCCCTAGTGTGTGATCGATTTCATTTGTGATCAATTTCATTTGATGTAGGTGAAACAGGGTGTACAGTCGTTCTAGCAAACCGGGTATAGGCAGAACTTATATCCATGTGATAATTGCATGTGTTATATTTTGCCAGCCAAAAGAGGTCGAATTGGATAAGATACATATTTAGACAGTAGGAGGTAACATAATATAAACTCCGTGTAAGTATCGTTTCAGGATTGGTCGTCCATTTTCAGGATCCTCTGTCCGGGTAGGAACAAATGCAACTGCCACAAAACTTCCTGCAGAAATCTCATCCTTCCAAGATAATATGTCACAACCAGTCTTTAAAGGTTGGTGCCATAATTGTTCTAAAGGTATGGATGATACTTGATCTGAATGTAGAAAGTGATGCTGTACATCCCAAGTAGGCACTGATACACATAATAAAGTTAGGATCGTACATGACCAAACTAGTATGTCAAACTGACCTTTGATTGTAGACGGAAGACATATACCATGCATCAGAGGCATTCGTGGCCATCCACCCATATACTTTGCCATAGTTTTGGTTCCCTCCCTCAAGATGAGTCGATGTGTCTCTGCACGCTGTTCTCCGAAAATACAGGCATCCATATTATGAAGGTAATGGTCCATGGGTTCTGAGTTTATTGTCAGCCATATAAAATGAAGGTGGATGCTGTCTGTCTTACTTTGATGAATACGCTCAGCCGGAGCTCCAAATCGTACTGAGGAAGGACCAGGACCATCAATTCCTGGCCAGGAATATTCCACCATAGAACGTTGCTTGTCTTCAAATAAAAAGTGAAAATTTATCATACTCGCCTTCCAGTCCGGTTGGACAGGTTCAATGTCTAATCGATATGACCGCAAATTAGACTCCTTGACCCATCCAAATGCTATGAACACCAAGGGTACATGGTTTCTC